TTTTGCAATTTTATATAGGCTACTTAATTAAATTTTATATCGGCACATATTTTTTATAATCCTGCTGCTCAAAATACCTGTGATTTTCCCAAAATAACCACTATATGGAGTCGAGATATATTTGTGTTGTTGATATGGTCTACGTTGACGAGAGTGATGTAGTAATGTTCACTGCGATGTACCTGAGAGAAAACAGATCGGACCATCTGATTTACACCAGTAAGAGAAAAGTGTTTTAAAGCTTGTTGTTTTGCAGAACATCACAGTTATACGTATATGACATGAGAATAAGGCCAGAAGTCAGGAACAACATTTTAAGGAAAATATAATTATATTTTCATAATGATTTTATTTCTTCTCAAACCTTGTCTGTGGTGTAAAAACACCCCTGGCCAAATGCCCCCAGAGGGCATCACTTGCCACTGTGATAATTACTGTAGTTACCATGTTCTGAACAGCAAATCCTTTCTTTTCCCCAGATGTAATCTATCTAGGTGGTTGAATAACAATATTTGGACTTTATATCTTAAAATTACCTCAACTTAGCACCAGCAAGCTCGTTAGCTAGAGAGTTACCATCAGCTAACAATATTTACTTATTTTCAGTATGGTTATGAATAAACATTCATATCTGTCTACTCGGCTAGTTAATCCAAACAATATAAAAATGTATACTGTTAATAAACAATATAAAAACAGACGTCACATAGGGCGAAATGCGTAGCATTTTAATAAAACTGTTAACGTTATGGCAGCGGGGAATAATTTTATTTAGTCTGTGTTATTTTAATGTTTCAGGTTTTTTTTTAACCTAAAACAGAGACACAGATGTTGATGTGTCTGCATTCAATCATTTCAGTGGGCTTAAATACATCACACTTTACAGCAGATTTAGTGCACAAACAACTGACAGTTTTGATCTAAATATGATTTTCAGTTACAATAATTAATCCTAAAATTCAACATTAGTAACTTACTTTTAACAGCATCTGACTAGATCTCCCGGTTCTTACTTGTGAGTTCACTGGAGACTCGCACTAAACGGTTCATTTGAATCAGTGAGTTGTCGACTTGAGAACAGCTACAATCGGTTCATTCTAATTCGCCAATGAATCGTTTGGTGCGATTTACGAACCTATTTAAAAGGTTAATTGAAAGGAATCAGTTCGTTCTTGAATCAGACACCGCTTCTGCATCTTGGAGCACGTGATATATTATAAGGAGTAACGATATGTTTTATGCATTTTGGTACTGTGTAGTGCAAACAGATTGAAACTGTTTTGTTGTCATTGCTAGTGTGTTTGTCAGCATCATCTACACAGTAAAGATCAAACTTCTTTTTTCTCTACTATTGTAATTTTGGCCCCACTCCAAATATTTTATACACACGCTACATTTGACTAAGTTTGGGATCTGTATGATTTTTTTTTTTTTTTACTGCTACATTGTTTTATGCTACATTTTCATTGTTTTAGGCTACACTTACTTGACCAAAAAACAGTAATATTGTGAAATATTATTACAGGTTGAAATAGCTGTTTTCTATGTGAATATATGTTGTAGAATGTAATTGATTGCTGTGATGCACATAACTCCAGTCTTCAGTGTCACATGATCTTCAGAAATCAGTATAATATGCTGATCTGCTGCTCGAGAAACATTTCTGATTATTATCAATGTTGAAAACAGTTGTGCTGCACAATATTTTTGTGGAAACTGTGATGCAGTTTATTTTTCATCACAGATGAACAGAAAGTTTAAAACAACAGCATTTATTTGAAATAGAACACTATAAATAGGGTACACATTCTTACCAATACATTTCCATGAATTGTATGTATAATATAAGAATAAAACTGTTCAAATGTTCAAATTTATCATAGCATATGTTAACTAAAATTAATGACTACTAATGCTACTTATTTGCTTTCTATTTGTTTTACTAATAATTACAAGCTGCGACTGCGCCAGACGTTACTCCACGCAGAGAACATATCATCACATCACTGAGTATTATAATCGATTTAACTAATATTACCAACTAGACTCAGGACCTGAATTTCATTTAGGAAACCGTTTATGTCTAACAGTAGTATTCAGGTACAGAAATATACAGAAATAGAATAAACTGTAAATTAAAAACAAATTAATCCTTAAAATTAAAGTTAGTGATGAGTGACAGACGCCACAGCTTTATTAGGCTGCTGTCTCTTTAAGACGGCTCTAGTGTACTGATACACAACGGTTTGCTTTTTCAACAACTGCTTACATTCACTTAAGACAAAACTGACTGTGTTTATGAGGATACTCGCCAGGATGGGCATTTTGACATCTTTGTGTGTGTATTTGGCCACTTAAGCACAATAAGCTGCGGAAAAATAACTCAATTTGGTGCTCGCAAGGTGTTTTGCTTTATGTGCGCAGGCTTTGGATGTGACCGTGACTTAAAAAGATGTGCAAATGATACAGCTTTGTGAAGATGCAACAGTGACCCGATTAGGCAAGTGACAATTCTGTCAACTGTCCCGAAACGCCTCACACAAACACACACATAGACACAGACACTCACACACACACACACACAGACAGACACAGACACGCACTCGCACACACACACACACTCTCACACACACACGCACGCACACTCACACACACTCACACACACTCACACACACTCACACACACTCACACACACTCACACACACTCACACACACTCACACACACTCACACACACTCACACACACTCACACACACTCACACACACTCACACACACTCACACACACTCACACACACTCACACACACTCACACACACTCACACACACTCACACACACTCACACACACTCACACACACTCACACACACTCACACACACTCACACACACTCACACACACTCACACACACTCACACACACTCACACACACTCACACACACTCACACACACTCACACACACTCACACACACTCACACACACTCACACACACTCACACACACTCACACACACTCACACACACACACTCTCGCACGCACTCACGCACCCCCACATCCCCAGACACAGACATGCACACGAACACAAACACACACGCACTCACACACACCCCCACACACCCAGACACAGACACGCACACGAACACACATGCACTCACACACCCCCAGACACAGACACAGACACGCACTCACGCACCCCCACACCCCCAGACACAGACACGCACACAAACACAAACACACACACACACACCCCCAGACACAGACATGCACACGAACACACACGGACTCACACACCCCCAGACACAGACACGCACACACACACGAACACACACACGCACTCACACGCACTCACACACACGCTGTGACTCACCGCATGGGTAACTGAGCACCTGGATATCATCAATGGCAATGAAACCTCTTCTGCCGTTTGTCACCTCTGCCTCGAATATGACCTGTACAGAGAAACAGGATGTGTGCTTTAGATGAGCTGCCATTCATTCACACCGCTCAATCGAATGAATGAATGAATGAATGAATGAAAAGATTTTCTGCATGAATGTGATTCATTTCTATTGAAGAACATCTCTATTATTACTCTACACATCTGCTACTAATCCTTGTGAGAAAGAAGTGTGCTTAATTATTTTGAATGGGCACTTCAAACGCACAAAAGTTATATTTAAAAAAAATACTTGATAATAAATTATTAATGAAATATACAGTAAGGCCACTTAAATATACTTAAACTTTCATTACTTTCTTAACTCACCTTTAAAAAGTGCACTTTGCATTAATGTCAAATTAAAAGTTGTACTTTAATAAATGTTTTAATAATCTTTTGTCTTGCACATATTATGATGTGTTAACAAACATGCTAAAGTACATCATCTTATCATTTTAACTGTAGTGTGTTTATTTGATACAAAATACAAATGACTTTCAGTAGAAATGACATAAAAAAAAAAAAATATATATATATATATATATATGTGACCCTGGAGCTTAAGTCGCTGGGGGATATTTGTAGCAATAGCCAACAATTCATTGTATGGGTCAAAATTATAGATTTTTTAAAAAAAATATATATATATATATATATGTGACCCTGGAGCTTAAGTCGCTGGGGTATATTTGTAGCAATAGCCAACAATTCATTGTATGGGTCAAAATTATAGATTTTTCTTTTATGCCAAAAATCATTAGGATATTAAGTAAAGATCATGTTCCATGAAGATATTTTGTACATTTCCTACCGTAAATATATCAAAACTTAATGTTTGATTAGTAATATGCATTGCTAACAACTTCATTTGGACAACTTTAAAGAGGATTTTCTCAATATTTAGATTTTTTTTTTGCACCCTCATATTCCAGATTTTCTAATAGTTGTATCTCAGCCAAATATTGTTCCATCCTAACAAACCATACATCAATGGAAAGCTTTCAGATGATGTATAAATCTCAATTTTGAAAAATTGACCCTTATGACTGGTTTTGTGCTCCAGGGTCACATATTTATTTACCAGTTTAGCCCCATAGTTTAGACGATGCTTGTCAGTACATTCAGCATATTTCAAAGACAACAGAATTATGAAAGCACAGATAAAGATGTACTAAAGTCCTACTTTACTCTACAAAAATCGCCTGCGGTCATTACCGCCATCAGAGATCGTCTCTGTTTATATACAGTGCCAAATCTCATTTTGTTAATCTCCAAAGACAAAACAGATTTCCACAAACGGTTGCTCATTTCTGGGAGAAAAAGCGTTTCAAGCAAACACCCACGCGAGGACAGAAAAGGCGTAATTGAAAATCCTGTGAATGGTGAGGTCAGTCTCAGGTTTCTATTATTGAACTCAAAGCACGATTGAATAGAGTTGAATTCGCTCTGTATTCTGCCTCGACGTCAAGGTCTGGCTTTTGTACGGCGCTTTCCAAATGAACCTTTAATGTTGTGCCCTGGCATCAAGATTGCAGCGATCCAGCCTGCGATCTGAAAGCGACCCAGTCGTATCAGGCTAGGTCCGGCTTGAGCAGAAGCCATTTCAATTAGAGCCGGGCCATCTGCAGCCCGTGTTAGGGAATATTGATGGCGCTTTTCATTTAGCGGAGCATCGCAGCCCTTTAAACTGATCTCTCTTAAAATGCCTCTGACATTTCCAAAGCAAATCTCAGGCTTGCTCTTGGTCAGTAATGCTTATGAGCCGATTATGATGTAAATCTTCAAAAGTGTTCTGGCTGAATGCGGTTACTCAGCCGCAGCTCTCTCTCCTGCTGCAGGATCCACTCGTACAGTAATTCTGCTGATCAGGCATCAGGTGTGTAGAGTCCAGCAGCAGTGTTACACTAGTGAACAGAGCTGATCGGTGTCTCACCGCTAATGGTTGGAGAGTTTCAAGCCCTTTGATTCTTCTAGTGTGCTTGTAATGTTGAACCCTAAACCTCTTAAATTCTCTGTTTTTCTGCAAGGATGTGTTCAATTGATAAAAAGTGATAGTAAAGACTTAGATGGTTAGAAAAGATTTCTATTTTGAATAAATGCAGTTCTTTTTTTGATTTTTTATTCATCAAAGAATCCTGAAACAAAAGTATTTTGTATAGTATATTAGTATACAAGTTAAAAAAAATATTAAGATAAAATATTGATAACTGAAAACACTTTCCAGCATTGATAATAAATCAGCATATTGTTAATACATCAGAATGATCATTACTGGAGTAATGATGCTGAAAATTCAGTTTTGATCACAGCAATAAATGACATTTTAACAGATATTCACACAGAAAACAGATACATTCAATTGTAATAATATTTCACAATATTACTGTTTTTCTGTATTTTTGATCAAATAAATACAACCGTGATGAGCAGAAGAGACTTCTTTAAAAAAAAAATTATTTTTTTAATTTTTTATATGTTACTCATTTCCCAATTTTGCTCCCCGATTCCCTGGGACCCTACGGTGTGTGTGTTTTGGAGCAGCTATCAGTGAAGATGGTTCAAAGACTCAATAGCGTCTCAGCTGAGGAAGCGGCTTTGGCAAGAATGAAAATTGCTGAAATGAGAAGAGGAGAAAAGAACGAATGAAAAAAATGAGGTGAGAAAAAAAGAGAAAGAGACAGAGGGAGATATTCTGGGACTGGCGTGACATCCTGCACCCCAGCAATTATCCCATCAGCCCTGGACAAAAGCAGCTCTGAACTCGAGATGTGCGCAGCTAGATACTTTCAAAACCGTCAGTGGGCCGCCTGAACCACCAGTCCACTTAAAACACCCCGAACAATCAGGCTGCTTCTGAATAATGAGGCTAGTCAGAGTGTGAACAGCATGATTCATGTTGAAATGTCCAAGGGTGCGTTTCCCGATAACCTCATAGTGTGCTACGAAGACTCTAAAGGTATGTCTTAACTAAAGGTATACCTGTTCTAGACGTGTTCCCTGAACTATACCTTAGGAGGCTGCTTTCTTACGTGCGACGTTACCAGGTGCTGTCCACGGCGGAGGTGCTGAATTGATTGATATCGATGGCTTGAGAATGGATTATTCACTCTATGCAGGGGCTGCTTCAGTACGTTATGTGAGAAAGCTGTGCTCTTTATAAAAGAAGTGTTGATTTTAAATAAAGACAAGGAACTCTTTCCTGTTAGAACGCAACGAACTTGAAACTTTTACTTTCGCTTTGCAACATGCATCACGTCAGGGAATTAAACCAAGAAAGAAAAATGTATGCTCAGAGCACCTCCCACATAAAATACAAGGAAGAAAAACTACAGGAGACACTGCTTAATAATTTAACAGCTTTTAACAAAAGAAAGAAAGAAATTGCTTTCCAACAAACAGCACTTCAGAAATAGTTGAAATTGCATTTATCAGGACTCATGGGATCTTATAAACATAATTGAAATTGCAAACAAAACCCAACCCTGGATATTTTATATCATTTTGAAATGAGTGTGCGAACCTGCAGCCTCATGCCCAAACGTATCATGCGTAACGGCAGTACACCGTCACTGACCTTTGAAAGGGTCATTTATATTATCATAATATATTTTCCATAGTGTCTTCATTTACTCCACAACCAGGGCTTATTGCCCAGCAGCCGCATCTCATTATTGGTGAAAATCACTCATTTCTGTTATTGGATGACCTACTCACTAAAAGCACAACACGTGAAACATATAATCAACAGCTGGCGGAGAAAAAAGAGAGAAAGTGGAGAGCCGCCAGCAGCTGAATTTCGCCCTTACGAAAATCAACCATGGTTTTGCTGTAGTAAAAGTGTAGCAACAATAGTTTAGTTAACTTTAACTCTAATATTTGGATTAGCCAATATAAAATCCAATATTTATGATTAATTTTATTTATCTGAATGAACTAAAAGTAGCAATGGACTATTAACCTGCAGTAGCACACATACACGAGCTGTCATATTTAACAAAGAGACACGTTCACTCACACACACAATTATTGCTTTTAATATAAAGCAACATTCAGTTTATATAATCTTAATGTGTCGTGGGCCTGTCCTCGACCTAACCACAGGTTTTACTCGTCATAATGATAACCACCACAAAACAGTAACATTACACAAATCTGTTTTAAAGAACATTAAACATAAATGGACGTTAAACACTAACAGATCTCCTCCAATATTAATGTTGTGGAAACACACATATACAACTCTTAATGTCAACGTTTACTCTTTTTATACAGTCGGTGTCAAAGCATGCTGGGAAATCAGATTTCCCTCGCTCTGTGTGCAATTGTTAATTGTGTCAAACTCACTTAATTTCTTAAGTTGTTGTTAAATAAGAAGAACATTGATATGGAATATGTAATAATTATAGGTCTTGAAACTTTATGATGAACTAATATTTGGATTAAAATTTATGTAATTTGTTAGTCAAACAGTAATTTATTTTAATGAAATTTTTTTTATGTATATTCTAGGCAAAAAAAAAAAAAAATCGGTAATTTGGTATTTCCAACTCAATCACTTATGTAATATTCAGATAATTTATTAAGGTCGGTTAGGTTTAATTAAATGTTAATAAAAAAAAAACGTCTACTCAATTGAAACTTTCATATCTAAATAGTGTTTTTGTGTTTTAATATTTGCAGACACTAGTCTATATCATGAGTTGATTAATTGCACAGCCCAACTTTTGATTTATTAATCCAAATTCTGTGTTAAACAGTAAATTCCATTTTTATGACTGCATTCCACAATTACGCATACGTTTTACACATCGCAGAAATCATAGGGCCTTAATTTAACCATATATGTGACCCTGACACTGCTTAATAATTTAACAGCTTTTAACAAAAGAAAGAAAGAAATTGCTTTCCAACAAACAGCACTTCAGAAATAGTTGAAATTGCATTTATCAGGACTCATGGGATCTTATAAACATAATTGAAATTGCAAACAAAACCCAACCCTGGATATTT